TAGACCAGAAAAGATCAACATAAGAGTTTTCATAATCAGCTACCCTAATTTCATTCTTTCAAGTCTTGCGTCTTCTACTTAAGCCCTTGTTTCACGCAAAAATTTCATTTGGTCCTTTGATAGGAAACAAAAACTCTACTGAAAGAACTCTAGTTTCACTCTAAGGGCTAGAATTACATGTGCACTCAGACACAAAAATGAAACAGAAGTATATACAGTATAATCATCAGAGAGGATAAGAGTCATAAAATAGACTGATAGAGACTTGAACTACGTATACCAAATTTGAAAGTTCTTGCAGCAATTACCACAAGGAAAAAGAAAATCCAAATTATGATATTACATACTTATTAAATGCAGCGCGTCCAACCATTACACCATGAGCTCCTGCCCTTCTTGCTGCATTGACCTATAATTAGTGGGGGAAGACGACATGAGATAAAGGTTGTCAACATAGAGTTTCTGCATCAACTAAGAGGCAGCACAAAAATGTCGACAGTTTTGTTGTATCACTATCACCATGTATGCCCAACTCATGTTAGAAACCAGGAATTCCAATTCATATATATGCATAAAGTTGGAACATCAAGAAAATAACAGGTAAATTTTGCATATATGCTGTATTGACTAATTACAATGAAGAAAGTTTCAAAACAATACAACCTTGTCAACAGTAAGGAAATGACAGCAGGGACACAATACCCCAAGTTACACTAATGTCCCAATGGACGACACAAAATTTTATAGAAAATAATGATAGAATTGAATAAAAATGTAGCTGGAAACATGATATCCTCTGAAGACAATACAATTGTTCATAGGTTCACCTCCTCAACGGTGTTTATGCCCCCATTTATTGTAAATCTCAAGTCTGGAAAGTCACGCAAGAGGCCATAAAAGTACTCATATCTGCAATAAAGTAATATATGAACATTAATAAGAAGCCGTATGTTACTTGTGAATGTAATACAAATGTTTACAAATATAATCCAAGCATTTTTTAATAGCAATTATGAGATAAGCATATCAGTAAAGTGAAGAAAATATAAGTTCATAAAACAAGAAATAACAGAATACATACTTAAGAGGCGGAATACTTCGATTTTCAGCTGGGCTAATTCCATTAAGTAGTGCCTTCCGTGAATGTATTATGAAATGCCTAGTTGGTGATTGAGAAGAAACCTTGTAAATAAAATCACCTGAAAAAGAGACAGGTGGTGACAAAATTAAGTGAGGATGCAACTCAAGAAACTAACATAAGCATAGCTATATTCCTTTCATATTCAGATAGACAACGATATGGAATTAGATAAACTCAGTTATAAGCATTAGATGAATCAATAATGCTCTATGTTTATCACTCAACAAGCATATAAAACATAAATGTGGAAAGTGTACGCAACAAACAAAAGGTGGTTCCTGTTAACTTTCCAAAAAGCTGCACTTTGCTGTTGTAGGATAATTTAGAAAGCTCTTGCATTTACCCCATCGCTTCTATATCGGTACTACATTTCACTGCTAAATTTGTATTTAATCTGATGGATGAAACTTTGTAATATAAATTACATCCTCTTTTTGTTATTTGGCATACTGTAAATCATGTCTAAACCTATTCTTTTAATTTCCTTTTCCTTTAACTCAGAGATCATTTTGAACTTATGGTAAGAAAAATATGCAAAATCACCAAACTGATCAAAATTTAGGCTTCCAACGATGTACAAATTTTGACTTTTTGTAGCACTGAATGTCATTGTGTTTTCATGGTATAAATATAATTGCATAATCATAAAGCAATAAACAAGGGCTATGAAAGGTATGGCCAAACACAGAATGCAAAATTCAAGCATAACTATTTATATTATGCAAGAAACTATGTGTCCTCAGTTCATCATTCGCTGGCTTTTCCAATGTCTTTCTTCTTTTTTTCTATATTGATATTGACTAGTTTGCTGACTATATAAACAGAAGAATCAGGCAAAGAAAACTTACAGAGCTCGTTTATGAGTCATGATTATCAACACCAATTCGACATTTCACGCTAACAGGTGCATCTGTGTGCGCAGCAATCACTGACATAGCCTCAGCAACAAACTTTCCTTGTAAAGACCAAATGTCTTTATCAGAGAACATTATAAAGAAAAAAAAACTATATATATATGTGTGTGTGTGTGTGGAAAAGTTGCAAATAACAATATAATGAGAAAGGTATCAAACCTTTGGATCAAGCATAAGACTAGCACCAAAGCACCCGTGCCCAGCTACTCTTGGACTCGGACATCCACAACTGGTAAACGGTAGAGGGTCAGATTAGAGGTTGGGGAGAACTTGAAAGATAAAAATTCTAACGGACAAAAGCTTAATAAAGAGTACAAACTTAAAATTGATCTCATCATATTTGTAAGGGTTAGCAAGCTCAGTCGCTTTGGCGAGGTTTTCCAAATTATTCCCGCCAATTTGAAGAACAATAGGATGTTGTTCCGGGGAATATTCCAAGAATCTATCCTGTTAAAAGTCCCACTATCAGTATCAGTTTTCTTAATCCAAACATATCGAATACATATCGAATGTACAAGAAAAATCCAGAAATAAATGAAACTGTGAATACCAGTTCAAAATTTATCAAAAAAATAAAAACATAACAAAATAAAAGAACTTTAATCTAGGGGTTGGCCCTTAACCCAAGGGTTGGGGCGGGTCTAAGGTGGAGAAATTGACGGGGCAGGTCCAAAAATCAGAAGAAACAGGGCTCTGGCCCGAACTGTTCTACCGTTGGACAATTGGATTGAATCACACCTCCACCGTTGGATCTTTTCTCATTCATTATCAGACTCACTCTTCTCTCCCAAGTGCCTCGACAGCCATCATCAATTCACCATCCCTTGACTCTGTCTCCCTCTCTTTGGCTTCTGGAAACCACCATCACCATCGTCTCCTCCCATACCTTCCAATCGCGACCACCCCCGTCACCACCATCGAGATTGTACAACACCACGGCCAGCGCTTGCGAATCAAAATCGACCACCAACCATCACCAATTGAAATTGGCCACCACCTACTGGGATGAGCAGGGGACATGGAGCCAATGATTCCAGTGAAATCTCTGAGATGGTGGCGTACACCAAATAAACTTCACAATTTCCACCAAATTACTTTTTGGTTGAGACTATTTCAAAGCTTTCAGATGCTGATGTGACACTGAACAATTCCTTCTAATCTTATACAAAATGAAGTCCAATGGGTTTCAATGAGGTTAGGCTTGGCTCAGTTAAAGACTTCTTATGAGCTCACGGTGTGGTAGAGTTAATAGTATATGGGGAGAAATAGCTAAGTGTTCCGGGAACACAGAGATCTCAATTAGAGGTAATAATGCATTCTAAACACAGTAGCAAGATCATGCATCTTTTATGAAGTCCATGAACACCCTTTTACTGTAGTATTAGAAATTCAAAATATTCAACTGATTGAAACCGATAATCAGAAACCCCCCACGGTAAAGTTATCTACTTCAACTAAACGCTTTATTTAAAGAGAAATGTCAAGTAAACACATGGAAGATGTTTGTCAAACTAACCCTTCTATTAGATGCCTACATCAATTCAGTAGAACCCTAATGTTATCTGGAGAAAACCAACTTCTACCGAATTAATTATTCGTTGCCAGTATTTCAAAGCTTTCGGATTCGGAAGTGAAACTCAACAAATCTTTCTAATGTTGCACAAAACGAAGTCCAATTTGAGGCTACAAATTGCAATACTTGCAGAAAGAGTAAATATAAATATGGTTTACCAGATTATCCTTCTGGTAGACAATGGTCTCAGCAGCAAGCATCTCGGTGTAGAGCCACGCATTCTTCGAAATGAGCCTGGCCAGCGTCCTGTAGTGATTGTCAGTCCACTCCATCATGGGAGCAATACTGTAAATTTGCAAAAAAACCCAATTCCGCAAAAAACCATAAAAATCATGGGCAGCAATGCAATGTGCAAATCAATTGAAAAGTAGAGAGAGAGGGAGAAGAAGATGAGAACCTAAACCAAGGAGGAGGGTAATGGGCGTGGTGAGGGTGGGTGGCGAGAGAAGAAACCATGGCGGCGGCAGCGGCGGGTGTGCTACTGCTGAGCAGTTGATGGGTTTTGAGAGGAGGAGGAAGTAAAAGTGGTGGTGGTGGATGAGTTGGCCGTTGAAGAAGTGCCCTGAAATAGATTAAACGACAATTTGCCACGGTTTTTTGTGCGAAGAAAAGCAGAATGAATAGGAGTAACAGAGGAATAAGAAGAAGAAGAAGTTGGAAAATTCATTTTTTTTCTTATGGGTCTGAATTTAAACTCACGGTTCAGAGAATCTCAGAGGCTCCTGCTGGTTGTGTTTGTTGGCTCCATGGACTCTCGGGAGGGAGGCTGATAGCTTGATAGGGCAATTCTTGGTCGACGGAGGCAGAAGACAGAGCCACTGGAAAACGAAAGGTTGCTATCTATTGGACTTGGACATGTTAAAAGTAGCCCAATTTAACACTAGGCCCAATTAAAAAGCATTTAGCTTACTTTTACATAAATACTGTTTGACTCTTTACATATAAAAATCACTCGTTGTCAATGCAAAATTAAAATATGCAAAAATATAACAAAAGCTTATGAATATAAGTTAAAATGTGATTTTTCTGCAAAAACCAAAGATTTATTTTACATGTAAGGAGCCAAGTATTTTTCGTTATGAAATTTGATCTTTAACACCCAAATTCCCTTTTGAAAAATTAAAAAAAAAACAAAAAGAGAAAAAAACTTTGGGTGTCCAAAAACCCTCAATATGACCGTCACACGAGATGGTACACTACGTGTTCCTATAGAAATTGTGGGTTATATGTGTTAAAAGGTTAATAAATTAAAAATTTAAAAATTTCACCACTTGCATAAAAACATGTAGTATACCATCGTGTTCTCGTCACAACTAAAAATTTCTCTTACGGGGCCCACATTCATCTTCAAGTATATGTGGCGGAGAAACAACCGCTGTAACTGTTTTTCTTCTTCCTGCAAACTCTATCAGTTCAGTTCCTTACTCTCACTACTTCCATGGCGAGCTTCAGCTTCAACACCACCAGAATCAGAACCCCCACCCTTCACTCTCACAAACCCATCTCCAAATTCATCTCCCGCGTAAACCCCATCAAAATCCCATCTCCTCTCTTCACCAATCCCTCAAAACCCCGGCCAAAACTCCGCTGTTTCCGACCCAATTCCGTCTCGGAAAGCTCTGTTTCCACGACACAAGAAGCAGAGGAGGAGGAATTCGATGAATTGGACGATGACCCGACGGCGGAGCTGAGCTACCTCGACCCAGAAACCGACCCGGAGAGCATTTCGGAGTGGGAGCTGGATTTCTGCTCGAGGCCGATTTTGGATATCAGGGGGAAGAAGGTGTGGGAGCTGGTAGTGTGTGACGAATCGCTGTCTCTGCAGTTTACAAAGTATTTTCCGAACAATGTTATCAACAGCATTACTTTGAAGGATGCTATTGTGTCCATTAGTGACGAATTAGGCGTCCCTCTGCCGGATAAAATCCGCTACTTCAGGTAATCATAACCGTTCATTTTCTTAATCTTCATTTAAAGATCATCTTTGCAACTAAACCGGCAAAGATGCAGTCATTTATATGTGTCGAACAAATCAACAACTACGTTAATCACAATTGGTGAGGTGCGCTCATCGGGTTGGCGCAACTATTTTCTTACTAGTTGTTACAACTCGGTAACAATGGCTGAAATTTTGCAAATTTCTGAACGAAAATAGCATGTTTGGGGCACGTATGAGGTACCTTACCCTCACATTGGTCACTCGTGCGCAAAATATTTTGAAAGAAGTTGATGAAATAAAGTCATTGTCCTCGAATTGTAACATATAGTAAATTAGAGGGTTAAAATCGCAGAACTTAGCCGTTTATTTTGCGCATAATGTGTGCTTCTGTGGATTGTGCGTACTTGAGAAAGCATGTCACTTGGGATTTGGTAACGGTTCCACTTTTATGATTTGTCTAATTGGACTACGTAGGTCACAGATGCAGACAATTATCACAAAGGCATGTAACGAGCTTGGTATAAAGCCGATTCCCAGTAAACGGGTAAGCATGTTTTTCTTATCAATTGTCTAATTTTCGGAACATGTACAGATTGAGGAAGCAGGTTTTCAACCACACAACTGATCAAGTAACTTAAGAAAGTTAAGCTAATAGCCTAGAGAATTTAGAGGGCCACTACAGAGTTAAAGATTTCTGTTTTGGAAAATTGTGGTTGGTTGTTTTCTGTTACGTAAATTATCACCGGAAATAAACACGGTTGTACTGTACAGAAGTATGTGACATTGAACTATCGCGATGCTACCGCAGATGCAGAAGTTGCATGACTTTGAAACACTGTCATCAGTTAGCAATGAAGCTTTTTCTTTGAGTTTCTGGTGCAACTGCTTCTCTCTGTCTGCTTATTGTCTTAAAACATTGCTTTTTTCAGTGCCTATCGCTGCTTTTGTGGTTGGAAGAACGCTACGAGACAGTATACACACGCCATCCTGGTTTCCAGAAAGGATCTAAGCCGCTCCTGGCATTGGATAACCCTTTCCCAATGGAACTTCCGGAAAATCTTGTTGGCGAGAAATGGGCCTTTGTTCAGTTGCCCTTTTCAGGTAAAGAACTTGCTAATAGCGACGTTTCAACAAATATAACAAGTCACATTCTCTGACCTGCCTTATTCTTCCAGTAACATTTCATGTGCCCTTGCTAATTCTACTTCCTGTTTCAGCTGTTCAAGAGGAAATCTCATCCTTAGACACGAACCTCGTGTTTGGCGCAAGTCTAGATCTGGATTTGTTGGGGATTGAAATTGACGAGAAGACATTGATTCCAGGATTGGCTGTTGCATCTTCACGTGCAAAACCGCTAGCAGGTGTTTATTCTCTCGGACTGTCGTCTTCTTTCTTCTTATGCATATTTACTTGCACATATCGATACACAGATAGCGTTTTGTGTCATTGGATTGCTAATATGAACTGTTGGGCGAGTGGATCGACAAGATAACAGTATCTTCTTGTGATACATTTTCCATAAGTCCGCTCTCATTCCTATTGCGTCTTGTACAATTTTGTGTTGTTCCTCTAACAATCAAGGATCTGATCACATCTTGCTATATGGTGCTGCAGCTTGGATGAATGGGTTGGAAGTTTGCTCTATTGAAGTCGATTTGTCACGGGCACGCTTGCTACTTTCTGTCGGGATCTCTGGCCGATATATTTACGCCACCTACAATAAAACTCCTGAAACAAGAAGTGAAGCCGAAGCTTGGGAAGCAGCAAAGAAGGATTGTGGAGGCTTGCACTTCCTTGCAATCCAGGGGGACTTGGACGGTGATGATTGTGTCGGATTTTGGCTTCTGCTGGACTTGCCACCTCCACCTGTATAGTTTAATCTGTCGAAAGGTTTTCGAAAGAAATCACTCTCACGTTAGTTTCTTAGTTACATTACTTCATCTTCATACTTCATAGTTGAGAAATGATTGCGAATACTGCTTTGGAACGGAGTTTCTTGTTGAAAATTTGTACTGTTTATCAAACTCGCTATCCGGTAAACTTGGTAGCAGGGTTCAAGGTCTCTCATGCAAAACTTTGGTTCGGGGTCCCTGAGTTATCGTACCGGGTCTGTGATCCTGTGTTTGGGATCACAGACCCAAAGTTATCCACTTAACATTTTCAACTTGTATTGCCCCTCCTTCTAAGGAACTTTAGGATGCGAAATATTCCACAGAAAAGCAAGCACAACCCTCCTTCATTCATCTTTATTCTAACCTCGTTTGAAGTAGTCTCGATTTCGCCGTTCACCCCTGCAAGTTTCCAGAACTTATCAAGTTCGTCAGGCGTGGGATTTACAGTTTCACAACTAATTGATGGTGCCACCAAAATCGACTCCTGCTCGGGCGTAGTCAGTTACGAGGCACCCCGATCTGCACGAACAATGACTTGAGGATGGGATGCTTTCTAATTGCTGAACAAATTTCAGTCATCAAAGTAATGCCGGAAGCATTCATACTTTCAAAGATGGTAAAACACATCTGCACCGCTACGAAAACAACTTTTCATTCCTATCCTCTCTGTTACCGAGAGTTCTAAAATATCATAGTTCGAGGCTGAGTATTCGAATACATTTCAAGAAGATAGCTTAGCAGTCTATACAACGAAAGAAAGAAAAAAAAAAAAAAAAGGAGAAAAAAAGAAAAGAAAACCTGCCTACCTCAGAATTTACCCCGGTTCACCAGAACCCATTCTTCACGACCGATGAAACTGAACAGCCCTGCACATACAATCCAGTCTCAAGTCCGAAAGAATGTGAGCACAGATACAAGCCAATGGATATGCTACAACATGTTATCTCTTCCGCCTTTTCAGAGGCAGACAACTTCCTTTCCATCTTAATCTGGAAGAAAGCCTACAGATGAGATCAACACAAACATCAAGTTGTGTGTACGTACAGCCCTCATGTTCTTGGCCTCTTATGCTTTTGAGATACAAATCGAACCCCTTGCTTCCCGAGTTCCAGAGATTTGACTTTGCCATCATCTAAAGTAACAGATAATGTTGACATGCCTTCAATAACATCGCTAACCACTCCCTTATGCCTGTACGAAACATGGGAAAAAGGAAAGAAATCAACTCAAATGATAACACCAAAAGTCTCCCCTTAAAGTAACACTTGATACTGAAAACCACATCTTCTTCGGAAACAATCATTTAGCAGAAAACATGACCGACAATCGTCTTAATGATTAAATTGCTGGTATTAAACTGCTTACAACTCAAGAAGTCCTTTTATATGTTAGTATGAACTGTAATATTTTGTTTTATCTTATTTAGGGTCCTATGAGACTGAGTAATGCACTATACAGAAACAACAAACTCACCATGAATTGTCAGATAGCTGCTGAACTTCAACTCGCTTTCCAATTGCATCTCTGCCCAATTTTTTCAATATCCAGTTAACATCCATCTCATCCATTACATTATCCTGAACTGATTGTGTCTTGTCATCATTCTCACCAAATGATGTCTTCTCCATAAACGGTGATGCTCTCTTTCTTTTTGACCGCTGGCCCTTGACGTAACTTTTTTCTTCCTCATGATGAGAAGAATTCTGATTTTCAATATTAGGCTTCTTGAGCTTAAACTTCAATGACGGAGGTTTGGCATCTTTTGACGAAGAATGTGACACGGGTGTCTGAGCGTAAGAATCATTGGTTTCAGTACGTATATTAGACCTGCTATGTGAATGCTTCCGGGAATATACCCTGTCATTTCTTAAAGTCGGGACTTCACCTACAGGCACAGCTGCAGTCGTGCCTCCTTCAATGCCTTTTCCAAACGAAACAGGTGTCTGCTCAGGTTGAATGGCTTCATATTCATCAGCCTTATCCCCTCTTGCAAATTTGGGGTTATGATCAGAAGCTCCAGACCTAACTTTTCCCAACTTTATAAAGTTTCCTTCTCTCCCAGAAACCTTTGGAACTTTCAAAGGGCTAGAATAATCACTTTTATCTGCACAATGTCATCACGAAGGTTTCAACTTTCAATTACACAACATAAGAAAACATCCAATTTTGACTGAAATACTAATCAATTGAAAAGAGATCGAACTTTTCCACCATACTAATGGGTTGCAACTTGTAATCCTTATACCTTTAGCATTAACCGAACCATCATGTCTATCCACCATAACAGGTGCTCTCTGCTGGCTGGCATCTTCACCGGCTGCCCATCAAGAGGAACACAAGTCATATATCTACACATATATACAATACACACACAAAATATATTGGTTTCTTTCAAGAATTTTCTACTAGCCTATTTATCTTTATTAATTAAAGTAACCTGGCTACATCCACCATAAGCAGCTACTTCTCTTATTGGTTTTCAGCCCTCAAAATATTTTTTTTATATAAAAAACGATGGTTTTTGGCCCTCAAAATTGAAGTGATATTCTAAATAATATTGCAAGTGGGGACAGAACAACAACAACAACAAAGCCTTTTCCCACTAAGTGGGGTCGGCTATATGAATCCTAGAACGCCATTGCGCTCGGTTTTGTGTCATGTCCTCCGTTAGATCCAAGTACTCTAAGCCTTTTCTTAGAGTCTCTTCCAAAGTTTTCCTAGGTCTTCCTCTACCCCTTCGGCCCTGAACCTCTGTCCCGTACTCACATCTTCGAACCGGAGCGTCAGTCGGCCTTCTTTGCACATGTCCAAATCACCGGAACCGATTTTCTCTCATCTTTCCTTCAGTTTCGGCTACTCCTACTTTACCTCGGATATCCTCATTCTCAATCTTATCCTTTCTCGTGTGCCCACACATCCCACGAAGCATCCTCATCTCCGCTACACCCATTTTGTGTACGTGTTGATGTTTCACCGCCCAGCATTCTGTGCCATACAACATCGCTGGCCTTATTGCCGTCCTATAAAATTTTCCCTTGAGCTTCAGTGGCCTACGACGGTCACACAACACGCCGGATGCACTCTTACACTTCATCCATCCAGCTCGTATTCTATGGTTGAGATCTCCATCTAATTCTCCGTTCTCTTGCAAGATAGATCCTAGGTAGCGAAAACGGTCGCTTTTTGTGATCTTCGCTAGATTGCTCCGGTTATTAGTGTGGATAAGTATATAAATGGATAGAGATAGGAAAGCAAACACAAGATGTACGTGGTTCACCCAGATTGGCTACGTCCACGGAATAGAAGAGTTCTCATTAATTGTGAAGGGTTTACACAAGTCCATAGGTTCAAGCTCTCCTTTAGTGAGTACAAGTGAATGATTTAGTACAAATGACATTAGGAAATATTGTGGGAGAATGATCTCGTAATCACGAAACTTCTAAGTATCGGAGTGTGGTATCATCTTGACTTGCCTTATCTGTCTCATAGGTAGATGTGGCAGCTTCTCTGGAAGTACTCTTCCTCCATCCAGGGGTGGTATCTTTAACTGATGGAGATGCACAAGGTAATGTATCAATTTCACTTGAAGCTTACTTGTAGTTTCAGGCTTGGTCAAGCGCGATACAAACCATGTAGTAGGAGTCCCCCAAGTCGCCGAGCTAGGGGATCTGCTGAAAGAGGTGACAAACAAGGTAAGCAATCAGAGCTCCGACTGATTGTTCACCTTCTCCCCATCTTGCAGCAGCATGAAGGATAAAGAGAAGAAAAATGAGAAGAGATGATATGGGATACTTTTGCTTTTGAAGAAGTAACTTTCCACAGGCTTATTCTTGAACTGAGCTGGAGGGTTTTCTGGTTTCCTCCAGAGTATAAGGCCGACTGAAGAATTTGAGGGTCAAAACAAGTCCATCAAATCTAGAGTACGTTCGACCCTGCTGATATGGGATACTTTTGCTTTTGACAGAGTAATGGATGTATCGGCACATGTGCTGTTACGCTTGTCTCCACATGCTTCCTTGTATCCTTCGCACTTGCCCTATCTGTTCCTCAAGCAGATGCGGTATCTTCCCTGGAAACATAGGATGTTGAAGATGAGTACTCGAGAGCAATGCCAGGTAAGTAATCAGGTAAGGGGTTCCAGGCAGTCAGTTCCTGGCTAGGAGCTTGATTTCAAGTGCTGACTGATTGCTCTCTTTCTCCTTGTCTTGCAGGTAAAAACAAGGCCAAAGGAAAAGACAGGGAAAAAGCATGATATGGGATACTCTTGCTTTTAACCCTGATGATATGAGATATTCTTGCTCTAGTATAGCTTGTTTGCAGAGGTATTATCGGGGGGAAAGAAAGCTGAATATTTCGAAAGGCTTAGTTGAGAGTGCCCTCTCAGATATGAGGAAGGGTTGAGCATTTTTGCAGGTCTGCCTGTCCGTTGGGGATGGAGGTCGACATATATAGGAGTCTCCCTAACAACAAGTAGTAATGCTATTCCTTTACCCTGCTTGGTCAAAGCACGGTAGTGGGAGCTGCCAGCTTCACATGTTTTAACTCTGTCAGAGCACTTTGAAAAAGTGGTATGTGGTATCTGGCTCTTGAGATTCGGAGAACGATGCTTTTTCGATTTTTGAGAAAGCAATCATGCTGGGGGTCTAGCTCTCGAGATTCGGGGAGCAGTGTCTCTTCGATTTTTGAGAAAGTAATCATGTTGGGAGTGGCTCTCGAGATTCGGAGGGCGGTGCCTCTTCGATTTTGGAGTAAGCAATCTTGTTGGGAGTGTTTTCTCGGATGTGAGTAAAGGTTGGGCATGTTTGCTAGTCTACCTTGCCACGAAGCACGGAGGTTGACACACAGGGACTTTCCAATTATCCAGCAGTGGTACTGTTCCTTTACCCTTGTGGGTAATAATATGGTAGCTAGACCTTCAAAATTTATGTGTCTAAACTTTGTTAGTGCTGTTTCTTTGCTATTCTTTTACATTTCTTGGTCAGAGCGATGTAGTGGGAGCTGCAAGCTTCACGTGCTCAACTTTGGCAGAGACTTTGGCAAAGTTATCTGTGGTACCCATGAGCTATTGTTGCGTGTGGGAAGTGGGTGATTGAACAGTAAGATTCATGTGCTTTCTACTTCACCAGAAGTCTTCGACAGAATGCCCATAATTTCCGCAAAGCTGAGTGTGCGTGTGACAGGTGCTGACAAGGTTAGAAAAGTAGGTGCCTCTTCGATTTCTGAGATCGGCCCTCGTGGTCTCTGAGTAGCCCAGCTTTTGAGAAAGCGAGCGCCTCTTCGATTGATTCGGAGAACGATGCCTCTTCGATTTTTGAGAAAGCAATCATGCTGGGGGTCTGGCTCTCGAGATTCGGGGAGCAGTGTCTCTTCGATTTTTGAGAAAGTAATCATGTTGGGAGTCTGGCTCTCGAGATTCGGAGGGCGGTGCCTCTTCGATTTTGGAGCAAGCAATCTTGTTGGGAGTGTTTTCTCGAATGTGAGTAAAGGTTGGGCATGTTTGCTAGTCTACCTTGCCACGAAGCACAGAGGTTGACACACAGGGACTTTCCAATTATCCAACAATGGTACTGTTCCTTTACCCTCTCTTCGATTTTTGAGAAAGTAGTCATGTTGGGAGTCTGGCTCTCGAGATTCGGAGGACGGTGCCTCTTCGATTTTGGAGCAAGCAATCTTATTGGGAGTGTTTTCTCGAATGTGAGTAAAGGTTGGGCATGTTTGCTAGTCTACCTTGCCACGAGGCACAGAGGTTGACACACAGGGACTTTCCAATTATCCAGCAGTGGTACTGTTCCTTTACCCTTGTGGGTAATAATATGGTAGCTAGACCTTCAAAATTTATGGGTCTAAAGCTATTCTTTTACCCTTCTTGGTCAGAGCGATGTAGTGGGAGCTGCAAGCTTCACGTGCTCAACTTTGGCAGAGAACTTTGGCAAAGTTTTCTGTGGTACCCATGAGCTATTGTTGCGTGTGGGAAGTGGGTGATTGGAACAGTAAGATTCATGTGTTTTCTACTTCCCCAGAAGTCTTCGACAGAATACCCATAATTTCCGCAAAGCTGAGTGTGCGTGTGACAGGTGCTGACAAGGCTGGAAAAGTAGGTGCCTCTTCGATTTCTGAGATCGGCCCTCGTGGTCTCTGAGGAGCCCAGCTTTTGAGACAAGCGAGCGCCTCTTCGATTTCTGAGATCGGCTTTCGTGGTCTTTGAGCAGCCCAACTTTTGAGAAAGCAAACACCTCTTCGATTTATGAGATCAACCCTCGTGGTCTCTAAGCAGCCCAGCTTTTGAGAAAGCAAACGCCTCTTCGATTTCTGAGCAGGCGCCTCTTCGATGTCTGAAGCTCCGTCGAGTGCAGCTTTTTATAGGGGCTGGCATTAAGTTCCAAAGCACACTTGAATCTCCACCAGTAGAAGCTCCATTCTTGCACTTCTAAGATCTTGATTTGTCCGACCTCTTCTCTCTTCAACACCTTTGAAAATGTCTGGCCCCTCCGACCGTCGCGTTTTGACTTGAACCTTGTTGAAGAGGCAGCCCCGCCTTCTCCAGACAACATATGGCGCCCATCCTTCGTCTCCCCTACTGGTCCTCTTACCGTTGGGGATTCCGTGATGAAGAATGATATGACCGCTGCGGTGGTGGCCAGGAACCTTCTCACTCCCAAAGATAACAGACTACTTTCCAAACGGTCTGATGAGTTAGCTGTTAAGGATTCGCTGGCTCTCAGTGTTCAGTGTGCAGGTTCTGTGTCTCTAATATGGCCCAACGCCCTATTTGCTCGAACCCGCCAAGTTGAATCATTAGGCGGCCGAAGTGATGAGTCTCAAACAGGAGATTAGAGGGCTCAAGCATGAGAATAAACAGTTGCACCGGCTCGCACATGACTATGCTACAAACATGAAGAGGAAGCTTGACCAGATGAAGGAAACTGATGGTCAGGTTTTACTTGATCATCAGAGATTTGTGGGTTTGTTCCAAAGGCATTTATTGCCTTCGTCTTCTGGGGCTGTACCGCGTAATGAAGCTCCAAATGATCAACCTCTGATGCCTCCTCCTTCTAGGGTTCTGTCCAGTACTGAGGCTCCGAATGATCCCCCTCCGATGCCTTCTCTTTCTGGGGCTCTACCGACTGCTGAGACTTCTCCTAAGCAACCTTTGTGAAGGCTCCATCTTGTTTGTTTATTTTGACTCATGTATATGTACATATTTGTAGCTTATCGGGGGATATCAATAAATAAGCTTTCCTTCATTTCAACGTATTGTGTTAAATACACCAAAGCCTTCTTCGCTAAGTTCTTTGAATTTTCTTTTGTTGAAGCTTGTATGTTGAAGCTTTCTGAGTGGAGCATGTAGGTTGGGGTAGTGTTCCCTTAATTTTCCGAGTGAGGAAAACTTCTCGGTTGGAGACTTGGAAAATCCAAGTCACTGAGTGGGATCGGCTATATGAATCTTAGAACGCCATTGTGCTCGGTCCTGTGTCATGTCCTTCGTTAGATCCAAGTACTCTAAGTCTTTTCTTAGAGTCTCTTCCAAAGTTTTCCTAGGTCTTCCTCTACCCCTTCGGCCCTGAACCTCTGTTCCCATAGTCGCATCTTCTAATCGGAGCGTCAGTAGGCCTTCTTTGCACATGTCCAAACCACCGTAACCGATTTTCTCTCATCTTTCCTTCAATTTCGGCTACTCCTACTTTACCCCGGATATCCTCATTCCTAATCTTATCCTTTCTCGTGTGCCCACACATCCAACGAAGCATCCTCATCTCCGCTACACCCATTTTGTGTACGTGTTGATGCTTCACCGCCCAACATTCTGTGCCATACAGCATCGCCGGCCTTATTGCCGTCCTATAAAATTTTCCCTTGAGCTTCAGTGGCATACGGCGGTCACACAACACGCCAGGATGCACTCTTCCACTTCATCCATCCAGCTTGTATTCTATGGTTGAGATCTCCATCTAATTCTCCGTTCTTTTGCAAGATAGATCCTAGGTAACGAAAACGGTCGCTCTTTGGTATTTCTTGATCTCCGATCCTCACCCCTAACTCGTTTTGGCCTCCATTTGCACTGAACTTGCACTCCATATATTCTGTCTTTGATCGGCTTAGGCGAAGACCTTTAGATTCCAACACTTCTCTCCAAAGGTTAAGCTTTGCATATACCCCTTCCTGAGTTTCATCTATCAACACTATATCGTCTGCGAAAAGCATACACCAAGGAATATCATCTTGAATATGTCCTGTTAACTCATCCATTACCAACGCAAAAAGGTAAGGACTTAAGGATGAGCCTTGATGTAATCCTACAGTTATGGGAAAGCTTTCGGTTTGTCCTTCATGAGTTCTTACGGCAGTCTTTGCTCCTTCATACATATCCTTTATAGCTTGGATATATGCTACTCGTACTCCTTTCTTCTCTAAAATCCTCCAAAGAATGTCTCTTGGGACCCTATCATACGCTTTTTCCAAATCTATAAAGACCATGTGTAAATCCTTTTTCCCATCTCTATATCTTTCCATCAATCTTCGTAAGAGATAGATTGCCTCCATGGTTGAGCGCCCTGGCATGAACCCGAATTGGTTGTCCGAAACCCGTGTCTCTTGCCTCAATCTATGCTCAATGACTCTCTCCCAGAGGTTCATTGTATGACTCATTAACTTAATACCCCTATAGTTCATGCAATTTTGTACGTCGCCCTTATTCTTGTAGATAGGCACCAAAGTGCTCGTTCGCCACTCATTTGGCATCTTCTTCGTTTTCAAAATCCTATTGAAAAGATCAGTGAGCCATGTTATACCTGTCTCTCCCAAAACTTTCCACACTTTGATTGGTATATCGTCTGGGCCTATTGCTTTTCTATGCTTCATCTTCTTCAAAGCTACAACCACTTCTTCCTTCCGGATTCGACGATAAAAGGAGTAGTTTCTACACTCTTCTGAGTTACTCAACTGCCCTAAAGAAGCACTCCTTTCATGTCCTTCATTGAAAAGATTATGAAAATAACCTCTCCATCTGTCTTTAACCGCGTTCTCTGTAGCAAGAACCTTTCCATCCTCATCCTTGATGCACCTCACTTGGTTTAGGTCCCTTGTCTTCTTTTCCCTTGCTCTAGCTAGTTTATAGATATCCAACTCTCCTTCTTTGGTATCTAGTCGTTTATACATATCGTCGTAAGCCGCTAACTTAGCTTCTCTGACAGCTTTCTTCGCCTCTTGCTTCGCTTTTCTATACCTTTCACCATTTTCATCGGTCCTCTCCTTGTATAAGGCTTTACAACATTCCTTCTTAGCCTTCACCTTTGTTTGTACCTCCTCATTCCACCACCAAGATTCCTTTTGGTGTGGGGCAAAGCCCTTGGACTCTCCTAATACCTCTTTTGCTACTTTTCGGATACAACTAGCCATGGAATCCCACATTTGGCTAGCTTCCCCCTCTCTATCCCACACACATTGGGTGATTACCTTCTCTTTGAAAATGGCTTGTTTTTCTTCTTTTAGATTCCACCATCTAGTCCTTGGGCACTTCCAAGTCTTGTTCTTTTGTCTCACTCTTTTGATATGTACATCCATCACCAACAAGCGATGTTGATTAGCCACGCTCTCTCCTGGTATAACTTTGCAATCCTTACAAGTTATACGATCCCCTTTCCTCATTAGAATAAAATCTATTTGTGTTTTTGACGACCCACTCTTATAGGTGATCACATGTTCTTCTCTCTTCTTAAAGAAGGTGTTGGCTAAGAAGAGATCATATGCCATTGCAAAATCCAAGATAGCTTCCCCATCCTCGTTTCTCCCCAAAACCATGGCCACCATGAAAACCTCCATAGTTGCCTGTCTCCCTGCCCACGTGTCCATTTAAATCTCCTCTTATAAATAACTTCTCCGTCTGAGCAATTCCTTGCACCACGTCTCCAAGGTCTTCCCAAAATTTCTCCTTCGAACTCGTATCCAACCCTACTTGAGGTGCGTACGCACTAATCACATTGATAAGTTCTTGTCCTATTACAATCTTGATTGCCATGATTCTATCTCCTACCCTCTTGACATCTACAACATCTTGTGTCAAGGTCTTGTCCACGATGATGCCAACACCGTTTCTCGTTCTATTTGTGCCCGAATACCAAAGTTTAAACCCTGAGTTTTCTAGATCCTTTGCCTTACTACCAACCCACTTAGTTTCTTGTAGGCACATAAATATTTATCCTTCTCCTCACCATAACTTCCACTACTTCCATAGATTTTCCCGTTAAGGTTCCTATATTCCACGTTCCTAAACGCATTTTGCTCTCTTGAACTCTACCCTTCTGTCCTAGCTTCTTCACCCTCCCCCCGTCTAATAGGATCAAAGTACTTCTTTTGTGTGTCCCGTGTAAAGTTGATAGGAGCATATGCTCCCAAACAACTTTGAGTGGAGTCGTTCGAAAAGAAGTTTCTACGGCCCCCTTGCTCATTTAACACTGCATCCGGGTGCCGATGGAGATACAGCGACCCTTGCTCACTTATCACTGTGCTCGGGCCACACAGCGCGCCACTTACGGGTGACGCCCTAGCTTTAGCGCGATTTTGTTCTGGATTCATTTTCATAAGGATTCGACGTGATCATGGAGTGCCGGCTGTCGACTACCTGACGCCCTCCCCCTCCTCCTTTATCCGGGCTTGGGACCGGCAATGTAAAATTACATAGGCGGAGTTGTCCTATGTAAAATTACATAGGCGGAGTTCAAGTGGGGACAGAACAAGAAAGAAAAAAAATCCGTACGTCTGACATACATTTTTGTCAATGTCAACCCATATGTCTCTGGGTTTTCAGTTGTCTATGTAGGAAACCAAGGTTTATGCCCCAAATTTCCACCATCTCAGCAACACATTGCCAGGACATTAACAAGGCAGACGGATCTACCTTCAACCCCTATATCACTATTAGTGGGTTTAAAACCCAAATTGACAACCGACACGACCTTTCTGAACACTGAATGAGAGATTGTGAAGGGGGCAGCAATGGGCGGAATTGATGAATGCTGGTTATAGGTGGCTGTAGGAACATTCATTGGTATTCCTCTCAAACTCAAGCCAGAGTTGGGCTAAAAGCAGTAATCTATTATTACCTAATGTTCAATGATGGTACCATATGTAAGCCTAGAATCACACATCCCATTATGCTGAATTGCTGTGTACATCCAAAAGTTATACGCAAACATAAGGGAGATACTTACTCATCCTCTTCAACAAACTAAACTGCCTTTAACTCTTTTTTCTAATGGCAATGCTAAAAGTAAGAATAGAATAAGCCAAGTAACAGGTCATATAGAAGGCATACCATTGGAAGTCAACAAATCTTGCTCTCTTTGACAGGTTGAAGCATCAGATATTGGAGACTTGGGCAAATTTATCTTCCGTGCACCAAAATTTATCACTAACTTCTTCCCTTTAACAGGCTTTGATTTGCCAGCATGCTTTCCAGTATCCTCTCCACTATCCAGACCATGAGACTTACCCTTGATATGAACGACTTTGGAAGCCCTATCTTCATCACTTGCCATCACCTCATCAACAAACTTGTGCTTCAAAATACCTGGCTTATTGACGGAGCACATCTCTTCGGTGTGGCTAATACTTCCAGCTATAGGCGAAGAATATAAGTCTAATTCTGCATTTTTGTAGGGCTGCATCTCATCATTCTTGTCATAGCCCAAGCTAGATCCGAAGGACTGAGGATCATCATGTCCTCCAGACCTCTGAATCACTTCAGTTTTACCAACAAAGAACTCCTGGTATTCCTTTTTCTTAGCAGACACTTTATTTGAAGATTTTTTCCCACTGTCCTTGGTCTTTTTTTGTGACTTATCAACTAACCCCTTGAGAGATAATTTCAACGGACGCCCATACTCATTCTTTAATAATTGAGGGCTGTTTTCTTCATCATCGGAATAGGGTGAAATAGAAAATATTTCTTCTTGAGTTGGCAACCCTGCAGCAACCCTCAAGCTAAAAATTAAATCTTGCTCCGCTTCGTCTTTTCTCCTCCAAAGCTCTACCACAGCATCCTCATTATTCTTGACCTGTAAAAGAAATCCAAAGTAAGAAGTAATCAAGTTGAAAATTAAGAAAAACCAAAATTAAAGCAAAAAGAAGGGTAGCACAGAATACTATCTTATTAGAACAAACCTGGTAGCATTCTCCACGACATGTAGCACATTTGTACTCAAGATTTCCATCTAACTGATACAGCTGATATCTCTCATCACTGAAAAAATAATGAATCACTTTGGGAAATAAGCAATCCCATAGGGAAATGAAAAAAACAATTCAGCAATTATAAAGTCACAAGACGGGGTTGGACCGTTGGAAATAGAAGTGTTTCCTCCAGATGTGTTCCATTAGTCTTTGCTAAAACACTAGTTCTATTAGGGAAACGTTTTGTCACCAAACATTCAGGCCCAAAGTTCCATGGTACAAAATTACTCACTTGGGACCAAGAAAAAGTAAAGGCAGGCCGCAGGATAATACAGCAAAACTAGTATGGGTCTATAAAAGTAATGAACCTGATTCCATCACAATGACAATGCACCCAGCGCTGGCAAAGATCACAGCAAACCATTGGTGTTGATTCTGAATCTCTATAAACCTATAAAATAAGACCACAAATATGTCATGAGAAAAATCATGCAAGTTAATAAAACAAAAGTATCTCAGATAAATCAACCCTTAGAGAAACAAATTAATACCTTCAAGCACACAGGACAATAGTTCCCCTTCACAAATAATCTTCCACACGCATCACAACAAGTGTATCCCAGAAACCATCTGTCAATGTAACAAAAAAGGAGTGAGTCCACCAGTACATGCTACGTAAAAGTACAAAGTAAAAAGTAAATTAATAGTGAAACAAAAAATAACTTATTAAAAAAAAAAGAAGTAAACTGAGCCTATCAGAGTTCTGCTTGGTGGCATAGAATTTGAATGACTAGTTTAGGCAAAAACTATTTAAAGAGGGAGGGAAAATATGAAATATATAAACAAATACAAAAGACCAACATACTAAATTACACAACAAAACTCATAGCAAAACGAAAACTTTAATTTGAATGGCTTTCATTGCAGAAGGGAACGACACAAAATGCTACAGGATTAGAAATAAGATGTCACAACTACGTACAAAAGTATAAAATAATTTAGAGAGATCTAAAACGGGGTGCTGGTAAGCCAAATTATCAGAAAGATAATATTAAATTCTAACATGGTGCCTAACAAACATTTTATGATACTACAATGTTTAAAAATTACAAATGTAAAATAACAATCATCTTATCACCTCCGTTGATAGAAGAAAATAAACTCACAGTATACAATATTGATAGTTAATACCTCACGCTCAAGCCATTTCCGGGGACTTTTGACCCGCAGCTGTGACACTGTGTATGTTTCGGGCACACATAAGGTCCAGGAGAAACATTCTGCGGCATGAATTAACAAAAGTAAGCATATTTTGAATATTTTGTAGGCCAGTATACAACTCAGGACTAAGCAGTACACATCCTACCTTGTGTGAAGGATGTTGGCAGTAACAATGGTAGGCGCCATCACACCTTTTGCAGAACATAAGCTTATTTGGATCTCCAGTTCTTCGGCATACCTGAAGAACGAAACAAAAGGATACAGTCAACAGCACTTAGTATGAACATTCCATTAATGAGCACATTCTATTACCATCATCCAGCCAAAACCCCTATAGACAATCTTAGTCCTAATGAAAGTTATCTGATGCCAATAACAAGTGTGGGTATGTTGTTGCAAATGGTAGTAGTATCCAACATTCTTAAATTCAGTGGAAGGCAGAAAAGTATTAACTAGGCTAAATTTATCTGCCTTTTTATCAGGAGTTATTAGACTGCCTGTATACATAGGCTACTTCTGTAATTGTGTCTTGCTTTTTGCCAATGATTTAATTAGAATACAAGAAAGAAAAGTCTCACTTCTTTTCCTTATGTTCAAGTTATTATTCTCTTCTTTCACTCCAAATATTTTTACTTTTCTCTCGATTCACATCAAGATTCCCACACAGGTTCTACAATTATCCAATTTGACTCCTTTTCTGGACAAGTAATAAATGTGGGTCCTATATGCCATTTAATATTGACCAAAAGAAAGAAAAAAGAGCATGATTGGGGTTGCATCATAGAACAGAAACATGAAAAAATTGTAGAGCAAGAAAAAAGGAGCCTTTAAATTCTTTTTAAGGAAATATGGAGGATTTGGACTTTCAAGCATGAATAGAAACAACATTGGACAAATATTGCAAATCACCCATTACCTCACAAATTCGGCACAGGGGGCACGTCCATGAACTCCAATGAAATAGATCTACAAAGAAGTCCAATTACTTTAAGCAAAATCTGTAGCCTGGTGGGAAAAAAAGAGAGGAGTAACTCACCTCTGTGTTTAGACCAAACTTTTACGCAGTTCCTGTGGTACTTCTTGCCACAAGTTTTGCATGGAAGCATTTTTCTTGCTCTCTCACTTCCTTCATTTTCACCACAAAAGCATATCCGGCACATAACATTCACATTGGACTGAGCCTGCTCTTCACCCACACCACCTCTTGAGGTGTCCTGTTAAAAGAAAATAGAACTGATATATTCAAATGCAACAAATACATAAAGAATATAAATATATAACGGGAAAAATACAATCAGATTTCAACACTCCAAAAAGCTCAAAGTATTACAATTGTAACATATGTATTTGAAGTTCAGCAAAACTGCAAATTCATAATGGCACGTGTCCCAAAAAACAACACAAAAAAATGGTGCAGGTAATGGGAGCCACGAGCCGTTCAAAATAATATGATGGAATATTCAATTCCAGTACCTACTAGGTCCGCTGAATGAAGTCTTTTTTGTTGACATGACAGTAAAGGTTATGCCATGAGAAGATACACTCTCCTTTGTCCGCTATCATAGAGAAGCTACTTCGCAGCATATCTTTCCATCTGATCCTAAAACATTCTTCCCATTGAAATGCTTTTTCTCTCTCTCTCTTAAATTCTCATCGGTCAGTCCTACTGTTAATGCCCTCTTTAAGATCTCCCCAAATCCACCTATTTTGTTCTAAACCCTAGAAGAGGTGAACATATACATATATCTGCACAAAAATGTACCATTGAAGCAATTTTACTGCAAAAGACATTGTAAGCATGTCAAAGTTGACATCAACCGCACCTCAAAACCCAAGAGAGAAGCTTGACCACCCGAACAACTCAACCCAGGAGAGGGAGCAGGATGATGTTTTAGATCAAAATTTTGAATCCAGGTAGATTAACTTTAGAGCTGCTCAAATTATTCTGTTCTGTTTCAGGGTTGAAAATCAACAAAGCTAAGTGTTATTTGGCTGGAATAAATTCAGATTGTGAGAAATTAAATAGATTGGCGGATTCTTGGGGTTGTGAGGTAGGTAGCTGGCCTATAAAGTATTTGGGACTCCCTCTTGGGGGTAGGCCAAGAGCACTCAAGTTTTGGGATCCAGTGGTAGATAAGATGGAAAAAAGACTTCAAAGTTGGAAGAAGGCCTTCTTATCCAGAGGAGGTAGATTAACTTTGATTCAATCTGTTTTGGGAAGCTTGCCGACCTACTACATGTCTCTGTTCAAAATGCCTTGCGGGGTGATTGGACGCCTAGAAAAACTAATGAAAGGATTTTTGTGGGAAGGTGTGGAGGAAGGAAAGAAAAACAACCTGGTAAAATGGGAGATAGTTATTAAAAGTAAAGAGGAAGGAGGTTTAGGGGTGGGGAATTTGAGGAATCGGAATGAAGCATTACTTGCTAAGTGGTTGTGGAGATTCCCAAAGGAACCTCATTCTCTCTGGCACAAAGTGATAAGAAGCAAATATGGGCTACAGGATAACGGATGGAACGCATTTCCTCCGATAAGGGGTTCAAGCCGTAGCCCATGGAAAGATATATCGATTGGTTCCCAATTGTTTCTTCACTGCTGTAAGTTCGAGGTGGGCAACGGGGAGAGGGTGAGGTTTTGGGAGGATGGGTGGTTAGATGGAGGACCATTGAAAGAGCAATTTCCTAGATTATTCTTGCTATCGAGGAAGCACAATCAGAACATTTCAAGCTTTGTAGATCTTTCTAACCAATTCTTTAAGTTGGAATTTTTGATTTCAGGAGAAATTTGAATGAGGCGGAGATAGAAGAGGCGGCTAGATTATTACAGAAAGTGGAAGAGGTCCGATTGTCTCAATCAAGAATGGATAACAGAAGGTGGAAAATGGAAGCATCAGGATTGTTCACATGCAAATCCTATGTTTTCCTTCTTGAGTAACAATGGGATGATGCAATACTTCCAACCCCATTCACAGATTTGGAAATCCAAAGTTCCTCCGAAGGTTAAGATTCTTGTATGGCTGGCGGCCAAAGGGAAGCTCAACACTTGTGACCAAATTCAAAGGAGAAGCCCTTTTATTTGCTTATCCCCACAATGGTGCAGTTTGTGCAAAGCAAAGGAGGAGAGAGTGTAAACCACATTTTTCTCCATTGCTCTTACACGATTCAGCTGTGGTGGAAACTGTTTCAGGAGGTTAGAGCTAGTTGGGTCATTCCAAAGGGTTGTTTCGAGCTTCTAAGCACCAAGTTTCAGGCCCTAGGAAGTGGGAGGAAAGCTAAAGCTTTGTGGGGTTGTCTGGTCTCGGCAGTTTTTTGGAACATTTGGCTGGAGCGTAACAAAAGAATTTTTGAGGATTATACAGGTGTGGGGGTAGAAGTACTTTGGGGAAGAGTAAATATTGGGCAGCCCTTTGGGCTTCAGTCTCAAATGTTTTTAATAACTACTCTATTTCTCAATTACTGTGGGATTTGTTAGCAGCAGTAAAGTGAGTTAGGTCTAGCTAATGTTGCTGTAGCCAAATCCTAGTGAGAGTTTTTTCTTGTTTCTTGTTAATGGTGGATTTCTTATCCACTCCAGTGTATTTCTCTTTTCTTCTATAAAATGTTTTGTTTCTTCTCAAAAAAAAAATTTTGAATCCAGGTAAGGCAAATTGAATAGATTAGGTTTTGGGATAAAAGGAATTTTAAATGTAATGAAATTTTTTTACTGAAGGAATACCAATTTCTGGTTTAGAATCAGGTACAAGACCTAAGAAAAAAATGTAAAATAGAAAATAAGAAAGGATGTTTTGGTGCTGGCCACCCAGTTCTTACTTTGTCCGCTCCTTTTACACGGGTCTGCATAAGACCAGTTAATGAAACTTTTCAGTTGGGACCCACTTACTTAATCCCCTCGTAGAATAAGAACCAGTGTTACCCAAGGTGGAATATACCTCTTATTCAAGACAATCCCAGCTAAGCCCAGGTATAAAGGTGTACCAACGAGCCCTAAGTGGTACCAACGAGCCCTAAGTGTGCTCTGTAACACCTCAAGAATCACCTATTTCTTCTAACAGATTTTGTTCCAAAACTATTTTCAAACAAAATATATCCGTATCTTCATATCAATGCCCTTCAAACTTAGCAAATATAGAAATATATAAATGCAGTAATAAATGGAAACTACAATTTAGGGAAACTCCCAATTATTAAATAATCAATTCCTCATATTCCCGGACATGGCAAAGCGGAAACTTTAACTCAAGAGCAACCTCAAAATGTCAGTGTGAAACAGTATTAGCCAAAAACAAGTCAGTATTAAGCAATTGCAATTCATTTTACAACTACACACTCTAAATTCACATAACACGGATTCGATACAAACATTCATACAATAATAACCCCAAAAACTAGCTCCTACACTTACACTAGAAACAATTCAAACAATCAAAAGCAGTGAATTTCAAGAACCTCACCGACAAATAACCAGACTCGAATCGCCGAGCAAAGTCCTCAGCCGCCACCATATCCGCAGCAGCCTTGCGCTGGAGCGCGGCACGCTTGGCCTGGGAGGAGGCGGCGGCGGCGGACTCATCGTCAACAACGGCAGCGGCGTAACTATCTCCGACGGCAGAAGACATAACCGGCTGGGGAAGCGGCGGCGGCGGCGGGGCGACCTTCGGAACGGCGACCTGGACCGTTTTGCCATCATCGCGAGCCCTAATTCCGGAGGGATCGATGAGAAAGTCGTGAACTCGAAGCACGTCTTCGAGGAACGAGGCCTTGGCATTGCCGGTGGCGAGGGTTCGCGGAAACCCTAACGCACAGTCGCAGATTCGCCGGCTGAGATAAACAACGACAAGTTTTAGTGAGAGAAAGAAAGAGAGAGGGGAGGGAAAAAAGAAAAAGAGAGTTTGGTACCAAGTAATTGGGCAGGCGACATGAAATGCCATATTGCGCTGAGAAGAAAGATTTAGCCTTTAGATTTGAAAAAATTATGGGTTGAGGGATCGCCCTCCTGGACCTTCCCTCCCTCCCTCTCCCTCCCAACCCAAAATTTTTACTTTGGAATATTCAAATTAAATTTGTTTTATAAAAATTTAATTAAAATTTTGAATTATAAATTTTAGATGGGGGTGACTGTGTATGTGGGTAATAGTACGATGACGAAGATTGTCGACAGTCGAACGAGCGAGCTAGAGATGATAGAGACAGAGAACAGGGGGAGAGAGGATTTGGGTTTATATGGTAATTGGGGCCGAGGGTCTGTACGTGGGCTTTCATACATTCAAAGGATCCTCTGGATCCATTTTGTGAGAATATTAGGATCTCAACATTTTAATCATTTATCGTATATTAGCAAGTTTTTGTCAGATACTATTTATGTTTAATTTTAAATAGTAAAAATTAAATGATTTCTAACTACATTATACAGGATAAGTGATTAAGATATAGGAATCTAGGATTCCCAAATAGATCCGGATGAGATCCAATTGCAATTAAACCCATTCAGCGATGATGTAACAACTACATATCCCACTCTTTTGTTGACATGGCGGTCAATAATGTGGCACATAAGAAAAAAATATTTTAAAATATAATTTTTTTTAAAAGAATAGTAGGTCCCACCTCCTCACTTAAAAATAGCTTATTTTCACAGTTTTTGGTGAAAAAAGCTGAAAACGTGAAGCAGTAAAAATGAGTTTATTCTTACATAACAGCAAAAACAGTTTTTTTTTAAAGCGCAGCAATACCAAACCAGCCCTTATACGTCTAAAAAACGTGATCTTTCGGACAATATTTGCTCTTACTATTTGTGTGAAGGGGATCTACAAATATTGTCTTGTGGATACAATAAAAACCGAATATAATATGTTGTTCGACAATGTTATGCACTACCAAAGTTGAACTAAACACAAGAAGAGATAGACTGGTTGTAACCTTGCAAAGCGCACTATTTTGCGCCTTCAAACACCAGTAGCCAGTCTCACATCGCCAACGGGTTGCTTGTGTCACAAGCTCCAAACATGAGCCACGGCCTTCATCTCGAGCGACCGGTCATCCGTTCCAGAATCCATTTTATTTTGAAAAACTTCCAACAATATTGTGCAAATGTATTGGTGGATTGTCTTCATTCGAACTAGGCTGACAACAAGATTTGGAGGATATTTACTACCTTGGAGGAAATCAGGATGTTTCTTTGAATAAAATGTTTCAATTTACCAAAAAATAAAACATAATGATCGACTAGTTTCTATAAGAAAAATAGGAAAATCATAGAGAAGGATTCGATCTTGGAACTTCTTCCAAACTGTATATAGGTAGCACACTGTTTAAGTTGTATTGACACCAAAAGTTGGTTCAACGAGGTAGAGATCGTGGAACGGTAATCGCAGACAAGAAACCACGGATTTACGTTACATGGGTCACCCACCTCGAGTTGAGCTTCCCATTTAAGTCCAAGGGTCTTTGTTTCGGGTCTTCAATATTTTACAGCGAGAGGATTTCATGAAACTGATCATATATTCCCTAGGAATCGGTATAACATATGACTTATGAGCACCTTTACGGGGAGAAAGATTCGCACACTGTCCTGGTTAACCGGCATTGCCCAAGCGCGGTGTTGGAAATTGTAGAAAACAAGAAACTTAACTGTAGCAGTCTTCAGACACAAATGCGTTTGTTGATTTACAGTTTACACTACCTCAGTAATTTCTAACCTCTTTTTTTCCTGCCTTGATTTTTCTTCTTTTCGCATAGCTCCTCCTAAGTTTCTATACAAACTACGATTTTTCACAAACCATCTGTGGTAAATCCTTGCTACAATTTGTATCTAAAATTCTAAGCTATCTTTTGCTATGTGTGACACATTTACATGATCGAGAAGTCATCTTCAAGCCCGTCTAGTTGTCCTTTTAGACTGTTTTCTTGGATGATCAAAACTGAGGTTTTAACCGAGAAATCAGAGCCCGAAAGGACATCCCCGATTGGCCCCAACTCCGGACATTGCTGCCAGTCATTCATCCCAAATGTCAGAACCGAATTCACCCTTTCCCCTCGTCCCACTATAATGAGCGCGTACTGCCCGTCCAACTCCCTCAAGGTAGAATAGGTCTCAGCAGAATTGGCCATATGCTTCTCAACGTAAGCGACTTGTCCACATGCTATACGTCTCTCATAGAAGCTTGCGAAACACTCATCGTCAAGCTTCATTTCCTCTTCTTGCTCAGAACGGCTGACAGTGTAATTTCCAGGTCTCACTGTGGCCTCTGAGCTAGCATCTACCAAGAATCTTATGACTGTGAGCTTTACACCTGCATGTCGTGCTACGCGACCAGCATAGGCAAGTGCTTCTCTATCGTCTTTGCCACCAATGAAGATGACTGCCATGCTGACAGAATGATCGTGTGTTCTTGGTAGTTTTTCAATCAGTCCAAGACCTCTGTCTACAAGAATCCCGACGGAGCACGGAGCATTCTTGAGGATCTGTTAACACCAAAGTATATCACTAACTGATAAATAAGAAGTATGCTAAAACAGATAAGTCTATAGAAATGTGGAAGAACTTGGAAAATTGAACAAATATTAACTCCTTTACTTTGTGTTTATCATATTACTAATTAAATCGTCTAATTCTTTAAGATAGAAACCAAAAGCCCTAATATAACCTAGAGCCTAGAGGCTTTATCAGTGAATGTGTCAAACATATGCTTCCAAGCACAAATTTTAAATTGATCATGCGTCGTTCCAAATCTGATCACGGTGTTCTTGTAGAATTTGTAGGTGTTTGAAAAATATTCAGTTGTCTGATATACATTACCTTACGGTTCACATATCTGAAAGCAGAATTTCCGTTATCCAATGTTCCATCTGCGCGTTGAACCTTGTGAAATGGCAAGATGATGAGGCCTACCATTGAGTCCTCTGCCAAAATGCAAATATCCTGGGGCATGCCACTGAAAGTCGAAAGTGCAAGCAATCGTCTAAGTGTGATACCATCTCCACTCTCACCTACATATGCTTGAACTGCAGCAGTGACTTGATCTCTCATTTCTTTCACTCCTGTGTGAGTCACTGTCATGGTGTCCGCCCCTTCTTCTTTTACCAGTGTGGCAGCAATTTCGTCTGTGAGTTCTATCATGTCTGTTACATATACCACAATTCCAGGGTCAGCTGTCCCTCTAGATATCTCAATGAAGTTTATCATAGTTTGAACATTTTGAGGCCCATGAAGGCATAGTAATATGCGGAGTTCGCTTGAAGGGTCAAGCAACTGAAGTGACATTCGATGAGTAGGTGCTCGTTTCCTTGCACGCTTGATGATTTGTGCCACAACTGATGGGGCATGCACAACCGTGAAAAATATAGCTATTACCATCACGGTACTGGTTGAAGTAGATGTTTTCCCGGCCTGCATGCAATATCAGAAGTGCAAAACGCAACAAGATCAGCGTGGTTAAAATAATATGACCAATGGTGACGAATCACTCGTAAGTTCTCTGATTCCGTAAGGAGGAAAAATAGCATGTGCTTAATTAAACAGTATCATTTATAACTTTAGGAGTAAAAATGCCTCGGAGAAGATTGAGAGGGAAAAAGAAAGCATGTGAGAAAAATAAATAGAGACGTGAGAGACTAACTTGTTTTGCAGCAATGGCCAAGTATATGTGAAAATGGCCTTTGGTAGTGAGCAGAAGCCCGAGTGCAATAGATTCCGGCCAGTGAAACCCCAACAGCTTTCCGCAGAGGACAGTTCCAGCAACTTTTCCTACTGTTGCTATACCAAAAAGTACAAATAACCTTGCCCATGTCCCGAACTGTCCGGGTTGAAATTCCTTGAACGCAGCTTCATAACCCATCCAGAAGAAAAAAATTGGATAGTAAATGGTAGATAACAAGTAATTGATCTTGCCGATCACCCATTTCGATACTCTCCCCCCCTTTGGTAAAAAGGTTCCTGCCATAAATGCACTCAAGGCCGGATTGTATCCATAAATTGGTGAGCAGGAAATGATCAAGGCCATGAAAGCAAGAGCAAGCACTAGATGTGAACCTTTGATGGGTTTGCCTTCGGGGTTTTCGTTGTTGACCCAGTTCATGAAGATTGGTGAAACATAGCCCGCAAAAAGTGTCTGGATCACCAATGCAGAACCCATCTCAATGGATCTTCGGACGCGTTTTGAAGTCTCTACAACTTTACCTCCAGAATCAACTGGCCAAAAGACATAGCCAATTGAGAGGAGAAGAGTGGATACAAAATCAGCGTGCATTCCTGCAGAAATGACTAGCTGGCCTATGTCCGACTTGCCTATTTTGAGACTCGTTATGAGACGTGTCAGTACAGGAGAGGCGGTGCTAGAGAGAACGGTGGAGAGGGAGAGAGTGAAGTCAACCTTGAAACCGCCATCTGTAAACTGCAGAAATGGTGTTATAGCGCAGGCTAGGATGAATGTGGAAAGCATACCACCATAGGCCACTTTAGCATCCTTGGTCGGTTCTTTAAAAAGTACATATGGATCCATTTCTATGCCTAAAACAAACATATAGCAGATCATGCCGAAATCAACAATAAAATTCAACGTTTTCCTGGCTGAATCCGTTACTAGGTTGCGTATGAACCCTAAGTTTCCGATCAGCAGTCCTATCTGCATACCATAAGAGAGAACAAGAATTTAATCACAATAATAGTGGCAAGTGAGTAGAACCAAAACGAAACACCACGCAAGGTAGCGAAAGATGGTACTTTCATGTTATAACGAAGGGTGCAGTTTCTTTTCTGCCTTCAGATTAACTCTACATTAAACTTCTACTCTTCAATGCAGCATTTAGATTACAAACAAATAAAGAACGTGAGAGCCGCCACAAGGCATACACGATTATGAAATAGGCATCACCAGAATAAGGCAGCAAGTTTTTACTTGATCAAATATTATAACAAAATGCTTGATCCCATCTGCTATTCAAACTCGTATGCACTCACAATGGCCCTTTGAAAATGCTTCTGCTCATAAACGGTTTTGCTAGAAGCGATTTTATTAGAAGCACATGAAATTTTAAAATACTCGTATAAGGATTACATAATGACAAATAGGGAGTGCGAATAACATTTCCCGTTATGAAAAAAATTGATTGTTAACTTTTGAAATGAAAAATGAAGAGGAAAACCAAAACAAAATTATGAGAACAAAACAAAAAACAAAGATGAATACATGGAGAGAGAGAGAGAGGGAGAGAGAGAGAGAGAGAGAGTTACAACGGTGTCGGAGGTAATGCGAGGCTGAGAATACGGCTTTAACAGGAAGTGGGAAACATTGCAGAGAGCATACATTAAGAAGAAACCCAGTGCATATTTTGCTAATTTTCCAAAAAGCTCTTTTAATTTGAGAGTGCATGGTCCAACAATTGAAATTTTTTGAGAAGTACGTAACTTTTCCTTGCTGCCCATTTTTTTCTTCTCTTGCTTTTTCTCTCAATCCTTTGTGTTTTTGTTTGCAATTGCTAGAGAATTTCTTGTTTTGTTTTGCTGGGCTGGAAGTTTGCAAATGAGCACCAATGGCACAGTTAATTCTCTTTCCAGCTTGGCCAGGATGAGTTAGTGGTTCTGATTGATTGCTTGTTGCTTTGTTTGAGGAGAAATTGAAGGAGAACGGCTAGGAGAGTGAGCCATTTACAATGGTAGGCAGGCATTCTTTCACAAAACAAAAATTTGAAAGAAAAAAAAAAACAATGGTAGAAATTCTACAACTTTGCAATAAAAAATACAAGGAATATTTTTCCTCACTACTTTGTTTATATCGTTAGATGAGTTTAAATTTCGAAGTTTGTGTAGATAGACCTAAATCTCAAAATTTAAACTAATCCAACGTTTATAAATATGATGGTGACTGGTGAGCACTACCGGGTTGTGAGCAAAATGCGCGCAAAATACAACCATATGGGAATTGGTTTGTAATACTAATAATTAATTGCAATAAAATTCACATTAATTTTTTTTATTTATTAATTTCTTATGAATGAATCAAAAGTATTAGATGCAATGCAACTAGCTCCAAGGCTAGAAAACATTGCAAATATTTGTACTAGGATCTTGACCTAATTGATTAAACAATAAGAAGAGTGCTAGCTGCTAAATTTACCCACCTATCTTACTTTTTCATCCACCTCTTAACTAAAATACATAGGCAGTTAGGCACAATATCAACCCATGAAACTACACATGCAATGTACCATAATGTTAAGAGTCTTTGGGAAGTTTCCAAAAAAAAAAAATGTTAAGAGTCTTTGGGATATTTCAGGCAAAACCTCTTCAGAAGTGGTATATAATATCGCCATATGATCGACTCTCTACGTCGTCTATGGCCGTGGAGGAGCACATCTCGTCCTTACACAGACTCCATAATCTCATGTTAGGCATGCATTGGTGGAAAAATAATTTCCAATAGGAGCCCAGATCTTGACATTTGTTGTCTGATCCACAGCATGAAATAATAGCTCCTTTGTACTAACCAAATATATATATATATATACACACACACAGCAAACTTAACTTCCCATCCAAACTCATGTTTTCTTATAAATCTCCATAAGATGGGCAGAGAGAGGAGAGAGGTGTCAGGGTTAGGGTTAGGGTTTTCCGCAACAGAGTGTTGATTGGAGGGAGAACTGACAAAACACAGTCCAAATGAGTTTTACTAAATATAAAAATTAGAAAAATTTAGAAATTCAATCAGCGCATGCATGAGTGACCGATTTCCAAGACGCTAGTATTTCAATATATGAATAATTGGATAAAATGTCCTCGTAGTAAGGTAATCGGTAAATAGCCTTCGTCATAAAAATATTAGGATTTAAGGTCTTGTGATGTAGTTCGTTAGTAAATTTAGTCTAAAAATTATTTTTCCGTTAAATACAAGAGTAAAAACGTACTTTAATGTGCAACATGAGGGTTGAAATCCTAATTTTTTTACCATGGGGCTATCTTCCGATTACCTTACCCTGTATGTGCACAGTAAAGTACATTTTTACCCTTGTATTTAACAGAAAAATAATTTTTTGACTAAATTTGCTTACGGACTACACCACGAAGGTTTAAATCCTATTTTTTTTACTACGGGACTATCTTTCGATTATCTTATCATCACGAGGATCATTTATCCGATTAAGCCTTCAATATATCACAATGTTTCAAAATTCTTCTTTCTTGTAATTTCCTTACGAAGGCTTTTTGTCCAATCAGCGCATGCAAGCAAGTAGGAGTCCCAATTCGCATGAATAGGGTCCACCAACGCATATGAGTTCAATCTCTATTAAGAAGTAGGTACAAATAAATGGTAAGTATAATGTTTTGAATCCCCACAAACAACGGTGGCATCACGGCTCCAAGCCAAACCTCTTTCTCCTTTCTACCATAAAAGAATGTATACATTATTTCTCCTTTCTTCCAATACCGTCCCTCCCACCCTCAAATACAATCCTCCCAACCCTCCTTTTTAAGTACATCGATGTTTTATACTAAATGGAGGAAGAGTTTGGCTAAGTCACACAGTGACAGTCTAATTTGGTATCGAATTCGTCATCCACGAGATTTGAACCTAAGACCTCTCACTTCCAAGTGAAGAGAAATATCACCCGACCGTAGTACTGAGTGGCCCCGACCCTTCTTTTAGAGCAACCATAATTTCATTACTTCAAAACGTCAATAAAATACATAATTAAGAGCCATATAGAAGAAGAAGTTGGCTCACAAAAAACCTCACACGGCAAAACAAATAATTAAGAGCCTTATAAAATTATTTATTTAGCTTGAACGCGTGAAGAATTGAAAATAATCTAACCATTATAGCCCGACATTTGTATACTTTACTTCCTAAACATGTTCGTATTAAAATGAAGTAATTAATCCCACATTAAAATTTCCACAGTAAAGCTAAAAAGACTTTTTCAAAAGTGAGACTTTTTATTGACTCGTTGTCACCTCATGTGTTTTGCATTATGTTTTATAATGTTGAGACATAAATTAACGTTACATTATAAGGTGCCAAAAAGTTCATGGAGAATCCCCTTAGCATTCTCATAATTTCATTAGTCGTTTTTTTAGCCTCACTAACTTTCATTGGACTGGATTAGACTGCACTACTTATTAAATGGACCAAAGGGGACAAGTATGCTGCATGGGCTAACTCCCTCGCTAGCAAGACCCGTTGAGAACCATGAGACACGTGGACTAACTCCCTCATGTCTCTCTCTGCTCTACGTTTTCACAAACGCCGAGAGCCACCCTCGTCCTCCCTTGCCAATTCCCCCTCCCCCTCCCCCTCATCTCTTTCTCCTCACTTTTTTCTCGTTTTGCTCCGCCGAGATCCGGTTCTCTTCAACCCGATCCGATTGGCGCCCAATAACCCCTTTGACAAGTTTGTTCACCCACAAGGCCTGCCTAGAGCTCAACGTCAGGAAAATCGCCCTCTCGAATCTTCCGAACCCGGATTCGGACCTCTCCAAAGTCGGGTTCCTCCTTCTCTTTGCCAACTGCCTCCAGCCGCTCAAGATCTCCATGAACGTCAAATCCATTATAATCTTTTCTTTAAAAATAACCAGAGGGGTATAATTCAAAATTACAACATTTCTCAATATTATTACTATTAGGTGAAATAACACTACACTAGAAGCTTCCATCATAATTCTTTCTTTTTGGCCTCCCTCTTTAAATGATATTTTTCTTTAAAGTAATTCAAATTCAAATTAGTGAGAAATTCAAACTCAATACAATAATTACGTACACGTAAAACAAAAACCATAGAAAGAGAGTGTGCCAAAAATAGCAGTAGCAGTAATAACTATTTCGTATATAAAACGGTCAAAACTTATGGGAAATTTGAAAATATAACCAAAATTTGGACCTCATAGAATTATAACCAGAATTTTAATTTTATGATAATTATAACCAAAAGTTGATATAAAAGTACTAATATATCCTTAATGTTAGGGTTTCTCACAACAACCAAAACCCAACTTATAATATTGCATATTTGAATATAGATGGAGATTTAAACTATCTTTAGATGTCTACAATCTTTAACTATACCTTTAGATATCTGCAACCTTTAAACCAAAATGAAAGCATGAATTAAAACAGCTTCCATGGAAAACGTAAAAAATTAAAGAACTTGGAAGATTAAAATATAGAGAAAAGGGGGAGTGAGTGAGCTGTTGATTCTGTTTATATATGGCAGGCCATTATTTGCAAGTAGCGTGATTGGCATTGTACAGATTCTACTTGATCAAACACGAGACGATGAAATACGTCTTTTAGGATGCCAAACTCTTATTGAGTTTATAAATAATCAGGTGGGAGTCGTCGGTATGTTCTTTCTCTTTCAGATTGTTGTTTGTTTTTGGTAATTGGTTATGACTTGCTTCTGAAGCTGCAGCCTTTTCTCCTATGGAAGTTTTTAATCTCTTGTAGCTGTTTTGATTGTGCAGAAGGATGGTACATATATGTTTAATTTAGATGGCATGATTCCAAAACTTTGTCTTTTAGCTCAATAAACGAGGGAGGACGGGACGGATAAGCGCTTGTGTTCTGCTGGGCTTCAAGCTTTATCATCAATGGTAATTCATCCTCATTTCAATCTGGTCATTACTTCATGCACTGCTACTTGTTTCACATGTGATATTCAATTTAGTATCATGTAGTCCGGTATTCATAATTTTCACATTGTTACTTGCGAAAGATTTATTAGAATATTTATGCGTAGGCGAGAATGGTAACTAATGACTCATGCGGAGCGGCACCAGATCTTGTAAATCATAATCTTGTATGAGTTGCAAATTCTCCCATATGCACCCTCACAAGTGTGTTTTGTATGCAGGTTTGGCACCATTTACTGCTATGTCTAATTCTTATATAATTGTTTCTGATATAATTACCTTATCGCTTTTTTTAATTGCTATTTTATCTAACTAAAAAATGTGCTCATTTATGTTTATAGACTCATACAGATTTTAAGTAAGTATCATTGTCAGCTTGTAGCTGTAGGAAGAAAAAAATACGTATGACACTTTTTTGATATCAAATATTGTTTATAGATTCTTTTTCTTTCTGTCTTTTTTCATGTGTGGGTTCTTCATAACTTCTAATGGCATTTATGGCGTAGTCCAATTGTCATCTTTTTCAAGCCGCAAATCATTAGCATCCGACAACCTTTTATTTTCCTTTTGTAAATCAGGTTGTTTCAGTTGTCTTGGAAAATTATGGAGGTCAAAAGAATAAGTCAGAAAAACAAGACACCCAGATTGGGAGTCCAGGAGAAGTTTCACCTTCACTAGAACCCATGACAAGGATTTCGTCCTTGAGGCTGCTAGGGAGTGAAATAGGCGAAGTCCATGTATCAGGGTAGTTTTTCTTGGCACAGTATTGCGTAAATAACTAACTATCATTATCTATCATTCTAGTTATTTCATTATGTTATAGCTAATGTATTATTTCTTCTTCTTGTTTTTGTTTACAGGGGACGACATGAATAACCCCAGATTCTGGTCAAAGGTTTGCCTGCACAAGATTGCTAAGTTAACCAAGGAAGCTACAACCGTACGGCGTGTATTAGAATCTTTGTTCCGGTATTTTGATAATGGAGATCTCTGGTCTCCTAAACATGGGCTCGCACTGTCTGTCTTGATGGATATGCAGTTAATAATTGAAAATTGTGGTATTTAATTTTTTTTCAAATTGCTTAGAACTTGTTGCCTCTGGGAACTTGACTAGTCTTCTTTTGTGATGAAATTAGTTGCACTCTTCCAACTGATATTTTGATGACCTGTGAACTGCTTCTTGCAGGGCAGAACAGGCACTTCATGTTGTCCATCTTTATTAAGCATCTTGATCACAAGAATGTTCTTAAGAACCCAAATATGCAGCTGGACGTTGTTGATGTTGCCACCTCTCTTGCTCGAGAAGCAAAGATCCAATCATCAGTTGCTATAATTGGTGCTCTAAGTGATATGATGAGATACCTGCGGAAAAGTATACATTGCTCACTTGATGATTCAAATTTGGGGGCCGAAGTAATTGAATGGAACCGAAAATTTCGAGCAGCAGTGGATGAGTGCCTTGTGCAGTTGACACATAAGGTGACGGTAACATCCTTTACATTTCTTTAAAGATGGAACAAGTAGTCTCACAGGGTAAGTTTGATTGCTCTTATATTGTGCAGGTAGGAGATGCAGGTCCTGTTCTTGACATGATGGCCGTGATGTTAGAAAACATGTCTAACATTACTGTTATGGCTAGAACCTTGATTTCTACTGTTTACCGTACTGGTCAAGTTGTGGCGACAATACCTAATTTGACATATCAAAACAAGGCAAGAATGCATCAGCTATATCACTTGCTTCAATCTACAATTATTAATGCACAAACTTACCAATTTTCCGTCTGATTTTCTCTCTTTTCATTTTGTGGTTTGAATGTCTGAGTTTCTGTAGACATTTCCTGAGGCATTATTTCATCAATTACTCGTAGCTATGGTCTGCATGGACCAGGAAAGCAGGTTGGGCACACACCGCATTATTTCATCTGTTTGCCCTCGTCCTTGTGCTGCTGTGCCCATTACTACAAAGAACAATAATATTGGAAGGACCCTCTCTAGAACTGTATCAGTATTTTCTTCATCAGCTGCGCTCTTTGAAAAATTAAACCATCAATCTCACTCACAGGAAAATATTACTCAAGAGATGAAGGACAAAGTTGTAATTGTGGAAGAAGCAAAGGTTCCTAACGAGTCCATGTTGAACAGATTGAAGTCCAAATTTAGTTCAAGAAGGCATCCATCAGCTACAAGTGAGTCTGTCGGTAACGAGGATGGTTCGGTCTCAGTAATCACTCCGTGATGAACCGGTTGAAGTCAACTTATAGTCGAGCCTACAGTGTTAGAAGGAATCCATCAGATACACCTTCTGCTGATGAAAAAACTACTAGTATTTCAGATAAAGATTCGGTATTGTCTGTTGGTTCTGCTATTGTCATACAATGACTGTACTTTGAACAGTATAGTATTGCTTGGTCATCTTCTATTGTGACCATTAATAAGGGCGACGTACAAAATTGCATGAACTATAGGGGTATTAAGCTAATGAGTCATACAATGAAGCTCTGGGAGAGAGTCATTGAGCATAGATTGAGGCAAGAGACACGGGTTTCGGACAACCAATTCGGGTTCATGCCAGGGCGCTCAACCATGGAGGCAATCTATCTCTTACGAAGATTGATGGAAAGATATAGAGATGGGAAAAATGATTTACACATGGTCTTTATAGATTTGGAAAAAGCGTATGATAGGGTCCCAAGAGACATTCTTTGGAGGATTTTAGAGAAGAAAGGAGTACGAGTAGCATATATCCAAGCTATAAAGGATATGTATGAAGGAGCAAAGACTGCCGTAAGAACTCATGAAGGACAAACCGAAAGCTTTCCCATAACTGTAGGATTACATTAAGGCTCATCCTTAAGTCCTTACCTTTTTGCGTTGGTAATGGATGAGTTAACAGGACATATTCAAGATGATATTCCTTGGTGTATGCTTTTCGCAGACGATATAGTGTTGATAGATGAAACTCAGGAAGGGGTAAATGCAAAGCTTAACCTTTGGAGAGAAGTGTTGGAATCTAAAGGTCTTCGCCTAAGCCGAGCAAAGACAGAATATATGGAGTGCAAGTTCAGTGCAAATGGAGGCCAAAACGAGTTAGGGGTGAGGATCGGAGATCAAGAAATACCAAAGAGCGACCGTTTTCGTTACCTAGGATCTATCTTGCAAAAGAACGGAGAATTAGATGGAGATCTCAACCATAGAATACAAGCTGGATGGATGAAGTGGAAGAGTGCATCCGGCGTGTTATGTGACCGCCGTATGCCACAGAAGCTCAAGGGAAAATTTTATAGGACGGCAATAAGGCCGGCGATGCTGTATGGCACAGAATGTTGGGCGGTGAAACATCAACACGTACACAAAATGGGTGTAGCGGAGATGAGGATGCTTCGTTGGATGTGTGGGCACACGAGAAAGGATAAGATTAGGAATGAGGATATCCGGGGTAAAGTAGGAGTAGCCGAAATTGAAGGAAAGATGAGAGAAAATCGGTTACGGTGGTTTGGACATGTGCAAAGAAGGCCTACTGACGCTCCGATTAGAAGATGCGACTATGGGACAGAGGTTCAGGGCCGAAGGGGTAGAGGAAGACCTAGGAAAACTTTGGAAGAGACTCTAAGAAAAGACTTAGAGTACTTGGATCTAACGAAGGACATGACACAGGACCGAGCACAATGGCGTTCTAAGATTCATATAGCCGATCCTACTCAGTGACTTGGATTTTCCAAGTCTCCAACCGAGAAGTTTTCCTCACTCGGAAAATTAAGGGAACACTACCCCAACCTACATGCTCCACTCAGAAAGCTTCAACATACAAGCTTCAACAAAAGAAAATTCAAAGAACTTAGCGAAGAAGGCTTTGGTGTATTTAACACAATACGTTGAAATGAAGGAAAACTTATTTATTGATATCCCCGATAAGCTACAAATATGTACATATACATGAGTCAAAATAAACACACAAGAGGGAGCCTTCACAAAGGTTGCTTAGGAGAAGTCTCAGCAGTCGGTAGAGACCCAGAAAGAGAAGGCACCGGAGGGGGATCATTTGGAGCCTCAGTACTGGACAGAACCCTAGAAGGAGGAGGCATCAGAGGTTGATCATTTGGAGCTTCATTACGCGGTACAGCCCCAGAAGACGAAGGCAATAAATGCCTTTGGAACAAACCCACAAATCTCTGATGATCAAGTAAAACCTGACCATCAGTTTCCTTCATCTGGTCAAGCTTCCTCTTCATGTTTGTAGCATAGTCATGTGCGAGCCGGTGCAACTGTTTATTCTCCTGTTTTGAGACCTCTAATCTCCTGTTTGAGACTCATCACTTCAGCCGCCAATGATTCAACTTGGCGGGTTCGAGCAAATAGGCGTTGGGCCATATTTAGACACAGAACCTGCACACTGAACACTGAGAGCCAGCGAATCCTTAACAGCTAACTCATCAGACCGTTTGGAAAGTAGTCTGTTATCTTTGGGAGTGAGAAGGTTCCTGGCCACCACCGCAGCGGTCATATCATTCTTCATCACGGAATCCCCAACGGTAAGAGGACCAGTAGGGGAGACGAAGGATGGGCGCCATATGTTGTCTGGAGAAGGCGGGGCTGCCTCTTCAACAAGGTTCAAGTCAAAACGACGGTCGGAGGGGCCAGACATTTTCAAAGGTGTTGAAGAGAGAAGAGAGGTCGGACAAATCAAGATCTTAGAAGTGCAAGAATGAAGCTTCTACTGGTGGAGATTCAAGTGTGCTTTGGAACTTAATGCCAGCCCCTATAAAAATCTGCATTCGACGGAGCTTCAGAAATCGAAGAGGCGTCTGCTCAGAAATCGAAGAGGCGTTTGCTTTCTCAAAAGCTGGGCTGCTTAGAGATCACGAGGGTTGATCTCAGAAATCGAAGAGGCGTTTGCTTTCTCAAAAGTTGGGCTGCTCAAAGACCACGAAGGCTGATCTCAGAAATCGAAGAGGCGCTCGCTTTCTCAAAAGCTGGGCTCCCCAGAGACCACGAGGGCCGATCTCAGAAATCGAAGAGGCACCTACTTTTCCAGCATTGTCAGCACCTGTCACACGCACACTCAGCTTTGCGGAAATTATGGGCATTCTGTCGAAGACTTCTGGGGAAGTAGAAAACACATGAATCTTACTGTTCAATCACCCACTTCCCACACGCAACAATAGCTCACGTGAAGCTTGCAGCTCCCACTACATCGCTCTGACCAAGAAGGGTAAAAGAATAGCAAAGAAACAGCACTAACAAAGTTTAGACCCATAAATTTTGAAGGTCTAGCTACCATATTATTACCCACAAGGGTAAAGGAACAGTACCACTGCTGGATAATTGGAAAGTCCCTGTGTGTCAACCTCTGTGCTTCGTGGCAAGGTAGACTAGCAAACATGCCCAACCTTTACTCACATTCGAGAAAACACTCCCAATAAGATTGCTTGCTCCAAAAGCCAGACTCCCAACATGACTACTTGCTTAAAAATCGAAGAGAGGGTAAAGGAACAGTACCATTGCTGGATAATTGGAAAGTCCCTGTGTGTCAACCTCTGTGCTTCGTGGCAAGGTAGACTAGCAAACATGCCCAACCTTTACTCACATTCGAGAAAACACTCCCAACAAGATTGCTTGCTCCAAAATCGAAGAGGCACCGTCCTCCGAATCTCGAGAGCCAGACTCCCAACATGATTACTTTCTCAAAAATCGAAGAGACACTGCTCCCCGAATGTTCGAGAGCCAGACCCCCAGCATGATTGCTTTCTCAAAAATCGATGAGGCATCGTTCTTCGAATCAATCGAAGAGGCGCTCGCTTTCTCAAAAGCTGGGCTGCTCAGAGACCACGAGGGCCGATCTCAGAAATCGAAGAGGCACCTACTTTTCTAGCCTTGTCAGCACCTGTCACAAGCACACTCAGCTTTGCAGAAATTATGGGCATTCTGTCGAAGACTTCTGGTGAAGTAGAAAGCACATGAATCTTACTGTTCAATCACCCACTTCCCACACGCAATAATAGCTCATGGGTACCACAGATAACTTTGCCAAAGTTCTCTGCCAAAGTTGAGCACATGAAGCTTGCAGCTCCCACTACATCGCTCTGACCAAGAAAGGTAAAAGAATAGCAAAGAAACAGCACTAACAAAGTTTAGACACATAAATTTTGAAGGTCTAGCTACCATATTATTACCCACAAGGGTAAAGGAACAGTACCACTGCTGGATAATTGGAAAGTCCCTGTGTGTCAACCTCTGTGCTTCGTGGCAAGGTAGACTAGCAAACATGCCCAACCTTTACTCACATTCGAGAAAAACACTCCCAACAAGATTGCTTGCTCCAAAATCGAAGAGGCACCGTCCTCCGAATCTCGAGAGCCAGACTCCCAACATGACTACTTTCTCAAAATCGAAGAGAGGGTAAAGGAACAGTACCATTGCTGGATAATTGGAAAGTCCCTGTGTGTCAACCTTTGTGCTTCGTGGCAAGGTAGACTAGCAAACATGCCCAACCTTTACTCACATTCGAGACAACACTCCCAACAAGATTGCTTGCTCCAAAATCGAAGAGGTACCGCCCTCCGAATCTCGAGAGCCAGACTCCCAACATGATTACTTCCTCAAAAATCGAAGAGACACTGCTCTCCGAATCTCGAGAGCCAGACCCCCAGCATGATTGCTTTCTCAAAAATCGAAGAGGCATCGTTCTCCGAATCTCGAGAGCCAGATACCACAGACCACTTTTTCAAAGTGCTCTGACAGAGTTAAAACATGTGAAACTGGCAGCTCCCACTACCGTGCTATGACCAAGCAGGGTAAAGGAATAGCATTACTACTTGTTAGGGAGACTCCTATATATGTCGACCTCCATCCCCAACGAACAGGCAGACCTGCAAAAATGCTCAACCCTTCATCATATCTGAGAGGGCACTCCCAACGAAACCTTTCGAAATATTCAGCTTTCTTTCCCCCCGATAATACCTCTGCAAACAAGCTATACTAGAGCAAGAATATCTCATATCATCAGGGTTAAAAGCAAGAGTATCCCATATCATGCTTTTTTCCCTGTCTTTTCCTTTGGCCTTGTTTTTACCTGCAAGACAAGGAGAAAGAGAGCAATCAGTCAGCACTTGGAATCAAGCTTCCAGCCAGGAACTGACTGCCTGGAACCCCTTACCTGATTACTTACCTGGCATTGCTCTCGAGTACTCATCTTCAACATCTTATGTTTCCAGGGAAGATTCCGCATCTGCTTGAGGA